TTTTCTTTTTCAAGACTAGGTTTCTCTGTGTAATAGTCCTGTCTGTCCTGGTACTCACTCTGTAGACAAGGCTGGCCTCGAACTCACAGAGATCAGCCTGCCTCTGCCTGCCAAGTTCTGCGATTATATTCTGTCTCCCTGAATGCAAACTTTAATTGATCACTCCAAGCACAACGGAATGACTCCTATGAGATCACTCACTCCCCTCTTGCTGCTGGCATTGAAGTGTAGGAAGACGGGAGTAAAAGTGGAGAATTTCAGCTGCATGACACGACCAGGGCTGTGGTAAGAACATTCTAGAAATCATACAGACAGCAGGGGCTTGGAAAAGGTACGTAGAGGAAACTCCAGACAAGTCAAGCAAGATTAAATATGCTAGAAATATTATATGTCTGAAATGTAGGGGGAAACATAAAAAAAAAAGTATATAAAGAATTTCCAGGGCAGGAAAATTGAGACCATTGCCTCTCTGGAGGATTCAAAGCCCCTTTTATTTCCTGATTTTTTACTATTTTCCCCCTATAATGAGTGTGCAATGATTCTGAATTAAATGGAGAAAATCTCTCTAATGAAATCAACAAACAGGAGGAAAAAGGGAAAACTCTAGGGTCCCTGGCAAGGTCAACCTGTCTCATGTCTACATAGGAGATGCTGGTAATTAGGTCCCTGTGATTTTGTTATGTTTTTCTGTCTCTCCGTGTGTCTGGAAATTTCCAAACTTAAATGCAAAAAGAAACAAATCCACCTACAAGTGACCCAGAAGTGCTTGTGCTTCCTACGTCAGAACCCACTCCATACCTCAGGGCCTGGACAGCTTCAAATGCTATTAGCCACTGTCATGCACTTAGTGAAATAGTCTTTTGTACAGAATCAGGTTGACCCATACGTGTTGTGGAATATTCCTTTACACTGTGTGAACATGTATCACTGTGATTGGCAGGAGGTATGGGCGGGACTATGGACAGAAAGAGTTCTGGAAAGAGGCAGAGTCGCCAGGCAGACAAGAGGAAACAGGAGGTGTAAGTTGGAAGAGATACCACAAGGCAAAACCAAGATTAATATAGGTATGGGTTAATTTAAGTTATAAGAGCTAGTTAGAAGTAACCTAAGCTACCAGCCAAACTTTCATGATTAGTAATAAGTCTCCATGTCATTATTGGGGAGTATACAGTCCCGGTGAAAATGTCTGATCACACGTGTGAAATTGAAACATTTTTTTATTGGTTTTATAAAAATAGCCAAGAGTCAAAAAGACCAGGCTGCTCTCTCAGGCTGTGCTTTTTAGGTGTTTCTTTGAGTTTCAGAATTAAGACAGAAAAACTAGCCATCTCACTCCAGCCTGTGCTAGAGGAACCAACACGAATTCTAAAGATTCGACTTGGGAAAAAAAAAAGAAGAACTCATAGGTTGCTGGCTCATGGCTGCTGGGCTAGAGGTGGGGAGGGAGGTGGGGCATTTCCCAGTACAGTTTTGAGATACAGACTGTGAGGACCACAGAATTCCCAGCCGGGACTGGGGAGAAGCAGCACACGCCTGCAGCTGCAGGTAATACATGAGACAACAGACAAGAGAGAGAAACTGCACTGGGGGTCAGAAGCCAGGGACAGGCAGGAGGGCTGGGCAGAACCACCCCAGGAGTCTAGCCTGGTCACACTAGATTCACACCACGAGAGTCATTCCTCTACTTAGAGGACGATTAATCCAGATTTGTTGTTAAAAAAAAAAAAAAAAAATACCAGAGTTGGGGGTGGGGGGATCCAAGTCCAAGGACTTCCGGTTGCTGGGGTACAGCCTCCTGTTTGGCATCGTATTACACAGTATCTTAATCTGATTGGTGAACGTATCTTTGCATAAACAAATGTTATAACCTGTTGTACTTACTTGTCATTTGTTCCTGACCCTGTTTTCTCAAAGAGCCTTCAGGTACAGAACACAGGCCCCTGGTTGCCATGGGTACTATCTAGGCAGAAGTCAAGCACAAATGATCCCTACACAGGAAATGCCGCATTTTGTGGTAGGTCTTCCTGTCTTATTCCAAGTCACAATTCACTGGTGGCCAAAATTTCAGAGGCTCGCTCCAAAAGGAAGGTATTTATAACCTGAAATATTCATTCAGGCCAAACCTGTCCTTACTCTTGAAAAATCTCCCAGTTGTATTGTCCCTGCCATGAGGTTCCCCCTGTGAAATGTGCATACAATAGACAGCCGCCCTGGGAGGCAGGAACAGAATAGACTCAAGTAGAGAAGGTTTGATTTGCCTATGATTCCTGCAGAGGGCAGGAAGAAAATGTCCAGTTACACAAAGGACTTCGAAGATCGGAATGCTTATCTGAAGGATCAGAGACAAGCACCAAGGCCAGGTGGAGGTGGAGACAGGCACCCAGAATGCTGGAGGAATTCTGAAGGAATGGAGCCAACTGCCCCCTGGGAGAGTGTTGTGGCCACCAAGAATGAATTTTATCATAGGTCAGTGGCTAAGTCAACTGCTTGCTTTAATCATTCTAATGTAGCCACACATCACTCCAGGACCTGAATTTCACTGTCCCAAATACCAACAACGTTCTAGACCCAACTAAGTGAAACATACCCGTCTTTCTGACAATCTATTCTACATCTGAGAAGAAAGCCTAGGTCTAGTCTACTATTTTTAAAGGCATATATGTGTGTGGGAGCGGGGTGTTTGGCGCTGGGGATGGAATGTACTAGACACACACCCACTGCTGAGTTACACTCCCAGCCCTTTAAAACTCCCAAAAATGGAATCCAGACATTTCAACATATGTCTTAAGTAAGACCCACCATTGTCCCCCACTGTCATCTGACAACCTACTCACAGGACTCTCGATTGCTACAGCAATCGTTCCAGATTCCAGAACATGTTTTCCTGCACAACCTAAGAAAATAACGAAGTCCTCAAGAGTAACTGATGCCAGCACGCTCCCCCATAGGTTGTGAATCTTCAACAAGCCACCAGCCAGCACACTCACAGGCCCAGAGACCCTAGCAAAGCCAGATGTGCTCTCCCACACTCCCACCTGGATGGCTGGAAGCAGCCTTAGAACCCAGAGACCCTTTAGAACCCCACGGTAACACTGTCACTCCCACAGTGGGGTCAGTTATACAGGTCTCTGTCTTCTTTGCAGCCCTCCATACTGGTTTGTTGGAGCAAGTCACCACACTCCATAACAAGCTACGGGAGATCTGCAAACTAAGCTGCCTCACCCTGCCTGGCCGGCAGCTCTACCCAGGCCGACACCTGGAAATGGGTCACAATACATTACGTGTGTGTGTGTGTGTGTGTGTGTGTGTGTGTATGACACTGACAAAAAAAATTAAAATAAAATAAAACACTACCTATGGTAACTGGCATATTGTGGCACACACCTTTAATCCCAGCTCTTGAGAGGCAGAGATGAGTGGATCTTTGAGTCTGAGGCCCACCTGGTCTACATATGGAGCTCCAAGCCATCCAGGGCTATATAAAGAAAGCCCTGCCTCCAAAAAAAAAGTGTTCACCCTGGGCTATCATCACCCTAGATTGCAGAACCTACAAAAGATAAACCACACACACACACACACACACACACACACACACACACACACACGGGCGCGCGCACCAACTTCATACTGCACTTATCTGCATGGGGAAAAGAAAGCAAGTAGCTGTTTAGACCCAACTGTCTGCACAACAAATATTGAGTACCTACTGTATACTACACTAGGATGATGAGTCAGCTTCGTGAGCTCCCTGTTCTCATTACAACAGAAGTGCAAACATGCCTGGCCAGGACAGGAACGCCTTATTATAACAGAATTATTGTTACCAGAATTAATGACAGGAAGGCATTATTAATGGGGTTACAGCAGCTTCATCAACAGGTACTGCTTGTAGCCTAATCCCCACTACAGAGCCACACTCCGGGCCCCTTCCCTCCTCCCTTCTTAATCCTCCCTGCGAGGCTCACATGTGACACAGGTCACCAGCTGTGTCTCTCACAAATACCTTCTGATTAAGGACTTGGGTGGTCTGCTGAACCTGATTATGTGGGCATTCTTAATACAGGCAAAGACAGAATGAAGGCTGTGAGAAGCCATAATTGACCGTAAGACCATGTGAGGGTGAGGTTCACTGTACACACACACACTCCCCTCCTTACCCCGTGTGCTCTCTAGTCACATTGAAAGCTTTACCCTTCCATGTTTGCTGATAACACAGCAAGTATAAGAATGAAATCACACCCAGGGAACATTTGCATTTAATAGAAAGTAAATAGAGCAGTAGATTTTATCCCACAACTATTTGTATTTTATTTATTTAATTAATTAATTATTGGGGGGATCAAGATCTCCCTATGTAGCCCTGGCTGTCCTAGAACTCACCCTGTAGAACAGGCTGCCCTTGAACTCACAAAGATCCACTTGCCTCCACCTGAGCATTGGATTAAAGGTATGCACCATCACCCATGCATGACTAGAACAGTGGGTTACACGCACACACACACACACTCAAACATGGTTTTTCAAGACAGAGTTTCTCTGTATTGCTTTAGAACCTATCCTGGAACTCGCTCTGTAGAACAGGCAGAGATCTGCCTTCCTCTCTCCACCTCCCAAGTGCTGGGACTAAAAGCGCATAACACTAACACCTGGCTTAAAGTACATTTTCAGGTGAGTTGCTTCTATTTAAAAAGAAAAGCAAGGCAGTGTCTCTGGCCAACCAGAGATACCCTTCCCCAACCCCGAATTCCCTGCCCCCCACCCCCCAACCCCACTCAAAACTCTTAAGTCTGAAAAGGTGTTGGGAATTTAAAAAATAAGACGAGGCTGGGTGTTGCAAGGTTCAGAGAGTGACTCTCCAGCACAGGCAAGGTCCTAGGTTCCATGTACAAATCCACACACAAAGATGACAGGGCTAGTTATCAGTTAGGTTGGGTTGGAATGAATGATACATTATAGTGAAAAAATGTTCATGTTCCAGGGTGCCAAGGGCCAACTAGTACCTGGAGTAAGATTCGTGGACCTTCTCACTGAGGATGACCAGAGTCTGGGAGACAAGATGTCACAGTAGAGTCTGCGGTAGCTTCAGGCTCCTGCAAAGCAGAGAACAAAGGGTTGTTACAGAGCTCAGTTTGGGCACCAGAGCCTCCAAATCCGGGCTGTCAGGGAAGCAATGATTCCTCTTAGCCCTGCTGTGGTAAGCAGGGGCTCCGCAATTGAAGGAGTCCACAGGTGGACAATGACTAGGGCCGAGGCATGGGAGATGTCATGGATGACCATGAGTCACCCCATGTCCTCTGCAATAGCAGCCAGTGCTTTTAACCACCGAACCATCTCTCCAGCCTCACGATTTGTTTTTTAAATGCCATACTGTAATATGCCAACATCAGGAAGGATCTGCATGTGTCAGTAAAACAGTAAATACAGGAGCAGAGATCCAGCCAAAATGCAAACACCCACATTTCAGGATTTAAAAGTCCTCACAATATGATTTCAGAGCCCACCAACTACTGCACATGGAGTTTGGTGTCCTATCCAAACTGAACATAATGCAGCAACCTAAGGAAGGTGACGATGGCCTGTGAGTGTAGATCTTGGAGATGGCACATGTCTAGCATGCAAAATAGAAATGTTTTCCAGTTCTCAGGACTGGAAAACAAAGGGAGAGGGGTAGAGGAGGAGTCTTACATAGCTGTTTAGGTTTGCCCCAGTCACACTTTCCTGCTGTAATATTAAAAAAAAAAAAATGCTAAATTGAAATGAAAGAAAAATGCATGCCATGCATTATTAATTCAAGAGGAACCTATTGGGATCAGTGGCCTGGAATGCCTGGTGAATAAATTTATTAGGACTGCTTTTCCTAATCCAAGAAATGTTCTGACCAACTCATTCTAATTTTCCGGACTTGCAAATTCCTTGTTTGTTAAAAGCAGAACAATAAAAATTCCATGCACCTAATACACAAAGAATTCAACACCAATTACCTCATAGTAAAGCAGGCAACATTTAAACACCACCCTCTGCGGCCTCCAGGGGCGAAGAGGCTTGTGAACTTGGGTTCAAGCACATGAAGCTATATTCTACCAAGAGTGGTCCACCCAGAGGAAATATGTCCTGAAAGCATTAGCAAGCATCTCACCCTGCTCAATGTATAAGTTACATCTTCCCAGTGAGTATAGACAGGGCTCAACGAATGCATCTGGAGCCTATAGCACAGGCACTGGGGGGCTAGGGACCACTGGCCATCTTAAGACTATGTTGACAGGCATGCTAAGGGTCCATTATTTTGCTTGTAAAATTCTTAACTCCTCCCAGGTCCACCCCCAACCCTCCAACCTAGAGCAGTGGTTCTCAACCTGCAGGTCCCCACCCCTTTGAGGTTGAACAGCCCTTTACAGAGGTCACCTAAGTCATCGGAAAACACAGATATTTTACATTACAACTTACAACAGTAGCAAAATTACAGTTGTGAAGTAGCAACAAAAACAATTTTATGGTTGGGGTCAACACAACATGAGGAACTGTAATGAGGGTTGCAGCTTTAGGAAGGTTGAAAACCCCTGCTCTAGAGTGTGGCTGACCTAGGAGGAGCCACACCCTTAATGAAAATGGACTGTCCCTCCCCCAGAAGTCATCAATTGTCCATAGCTCTCCAGTGAGGGGTGAGGGCTCACAAATCCTTCCCCTCTCCATACTGACATTTTGGACTAGCTGGACCTCGTGCACACAGCACAGCTTCTCGAAGTTCATGAGTACAGGAGTCCTGCCATGTCTCACTCTGGTCCACTCTGACCACTGGCCCTTTCAAGCTTCCTGCCCAGAAGTAGCCATTCTGAAAGGATTTTCTGGGTCATAGCATCTAGGAAAATCCCCTCCATCCTTCAACCTGCTAGTCTTGAAACACCATGCTATAGTCTCCATCTTAAATATTCCCCAATGGTCCATATGCCAAAGATTTGTTCCTCAACCTATAGGCTATTTGGAGATGGTGGAGTAGTTAAGAGGCGGGACCTACTGGGAGGAAGTCAGGCCACTGAGGGTGTGTCCTTGAAGGGGCAGTGGGACACAGGCCCTTCTTTCTTTTGCTGTCTAGCCAGGAATGGAGAATTTTGACTCTCAAATGTCTCTGCTTTGATTAGCTACTTCTCCACAAGCAGGGGTGCCTAGACTATGGAATAAGGCTAGCTGACCAAGCCAGGGAAGCCAGCTAGTCAAATTTACAAAGTCAAAAGGAAGCATGGTCAACAAAGAATGGCTAGATATATATCCTAGCCTCAGCCCTTCAAATAATTCAATTATCCCAGCCCATTCTGTACCAAGATCAATTGGCTCAAAATTTGGTGATTCATTCTTCAAGACACAAAAACCTTAAGATAGGGGCTCCATTGCCCTTCACTGCTGAACACTGTAGAAGGCTGGGTACCTATGGTTCCTATGTCATCAAGGTCAGCCTACACTACACAGTAAGATCATGTCACAACAGATGATTGATTGATTAATAGATGATAGACAAATAGGCAGAAGCCAGCCTGAGCTACACAGTGTGACTATAATAGTCTAGATTGGTTGACTGACAGATGATAGACAGAAAGATGGCATATAAATCTATTAAGTAATTTTTTTAATTTAATAAATGCATTCTTGAGGCATTTCTTGGAATAAATGCCACAAGTCCACAAACACTTTCTCTGCACCTCATTCTGTCCTTTAGGCCTGGGTGCTCACTCCCAGCATCCATGGGTGTATCTGCCCCATAGCTAATGAGCTACCCAGAAGAATGCAGTGAGAGCAAGTGGCTATTTAAAAGGATCCTCCAGTTTGAGTGAAGAACTGTTTGATGGGTGAATAATCAGCTCTTAATTACACAGCTTCTCTTTTAAAATAAAGAATTGTCTCATTAATGAGGTGCTCGAGGGGACAGTGGCACCCGTCCTGAATTTGGACATGCAACATGCCTGCCTGCCTGCCAGTCTATAAAATACAGCCCCGGCAGTGAGGATGTGAGGGTATAATGAGAGCTACTGTGTTGTTGCTGCTGTTGTGGGTTTTTCTTTGTTTTATTTTTGTTTTGTTGTTTTTAAGTCCCATGTGTACGATGCTTGCCTCTCTCTCTCTCTCTCTCTCTCTGTGTGTGTGTGTGTGTGTGTGTGTGTGTGTGTGTGTGTGTATGTGCACCATATGCAAGCAGTAACCACAAAGGCCAGAAGAGGGCGCTGGATCCCATAGATCTGGAGTTACAGATGGCTGTGAGCTGCCTGCCTTTGGGTGCTGAGAATCAAAGTCCTTTGAAAGAGCAGCCAGTGCTCTTACCCTGGGGCATCAAAAGGGCTACTCCTGTACACACAAACACAAACTCCCGTACACACAAACACAAAAGACATCCTGCAGGGCACACAAATATAAAACACACACTAGACATCATCAACAAAATGAGCATGAAAAAGAAAGGAGGCCTGGAAAAGCAGGCTTTGTAACTCACTCTGATAATCCCAGCACCCAGGAGTCTGAGACAGGAGGATGGAGAGTTTGAGGACAGTCTGGGCCACAGTGCAAGACCCCATCTCAAAAGAGCCCAGATCAGCAAAGAAAGAGACATAGGCGGAATTAACCAGAGATCCAACCCAGTGGTCAGGGAGGACACCCCTGGCTGGAAGCAGGCAGAAGAGCATGTGTCTCCCAGCAGGGCATGCTGAGGGCAGGGCCCCGCCCTGGAGAGTCTACACTACTCTTAATGATGTCTTCAAGCTTTATGGGGCTTCCCCTAAAAACAAAGACACACTTTGACCTCTGCATCGCATGTTCTCCCACAGCTCAGTAATCACTTTCCATAGCCCTTTGTCCCCAAGATCTGCTTACATCAACTGCCAGGGCCCAAGCAGATCAATAGAAAACTAACCAGGTGAAAACATGGCTTTTTTGCACATACAGGGGCCCTGGAGTGGGGCCTGGGAAGGACAGTGGTATCCCAGGGACATGCTCAGTGAATCTTTCCCCCCAGGACGCCAGCAGATGCTGTGCTACCTCCCTTCCCAGAACCACCCCCTTGAAGAGCCTAGCACCTTGCCTAGAGTATCCTCCCAGGCCTTGCCACGCCCCTTCCTGCACCTTTCAGTGGACACGGGCGTACCATTCCCTCACCTTCACCTTGCTCGGCACCTTACCATGCCTTGGTGCATCTTCCCTGGCCTTGGGAAACAGGCAAAGCCCTGAGTTGCAGTCCAACTACTAATAATAAACAATAACAGATAATGATAACCATTATTATTTTAAAGTAAAAATAAAAACCAAAGAGGATTGTGGTGTTGAATGTGTTGGGTGTGACGGTGCCTGTCTTTAATCCCAGCACTCTGAAGGTAGAGGCAGTATGATCTCTGTGAGTACAAGGTCAGCTTGTTCCACATAGTGAGCTCCAGGCCAGCCAGGGCTCTGTAGAGAGACCCTGTCTCAAACAAACACATTATGAACATACTTAATGCTACTGACTTAAAAATGGTTAAATTGTTTTATACTTTGAGTGTCCCACTGTAATGTAAAAGTACTGATAATTCAAAAATAAACAACAACAACAACAAAAATACCTCCCACATGTAGGAGGCACAGCTTAGAGAAAGCACAGGAGGAACCAGAACAGTAAAATGCACAGGCCTATCCTCTTCAAGGGAAGGAACGAAAACCTGGTCACCTGGAAGTCTAGGATGAATGGTGTCTACCAACCCGGTGATCTTTTGCTATTCTGTGTGGAGCCAGCCTTCCTGAGCACCATTTAGGCCCTTACCTTGAGCTTTATCTCTTGGTGACTAGAACCCATCCTTACGAAAGAGGTCCCAGGTACTTTGCATTCTCCACCAATAGAATCCATCTTTGTGCTTATTACGAATCTTCCTCCCTAGGCCCTTACTCTGTGCTCTGTTTACGAGCCCATAGAACTCATTCTTATTGTAAAGGGTCACAGGTGCTTACTTTGCTAGGGAGTTTCCATATAGATGTCCCAGTAGCTCTGCTGTGATGACTGTCACATGGAGATTTCCCCCCAAATTTTACTGTGCTTAAACGTGTAAGAAGCATAAACCCAGGAGGGAGACTCTGGAAGCTT